GGATTTCGCCATTTGTCTCGATGTTTGCAGAACGGCGAGGTCAGGTGTGACAGGAAACGATGTCCACGGACGCTGTGCAACACAATTGCCCACCAAATGAAACGTGGTGAATACGTGGTGGACAGCGACGACTGTTGCACGGTCCAGTGTCGTCGGGCGAGGCGTCATCATCGGAACAATCATCATTCGGCTCGGCATTCCGTGACGCCGCGCGAGCTTAGCTGAGTAGTTCCAGTTGCTGCTGCCGAGCTTCTTCTTCCTTTCAGACAATACGTCTCGGTCCACGGTAATGTTTCTGGACCTTGTTTCTCTCTAGTAATCATCAATTGGCCATGCCGTAGCCGTCGTTATCGTCGACTACATTTCGACTTCGTTCTAAAGCAACCAGGAAGCTGCGAGAATGTAACGGGAGTGAAATCTCTGATGTCGCAGAGATATGTATATGTTCGAATGACGAAGCACGCATCAAGGGAATTCAAACAGATGGTTTCTACAATCTGCCAGAGCATCATCGATTGAATTAGATTATTCAGAAATAAATACCGTTTGAAATATATCGACGCCGCGGCGAAATGATGTCGAATAATATGTGGACAGAATTATATTATTGGGCAAGCGAGACTATTCAATTCACGACGAGTGAAGACGAGATTAAACCAGGCCATCTGGGTGAAACAAAAGAAGCACAGAGATACTTCGGTCGGTATTATTATATGAAGTTGGGCGCCACGTGGTAACTCTTAATCATTTTCCAGACTTTGTCATTGAATGATCATCCGAAAGAAATATTCTGAGAGAGAAAAAGAAGAAGAATCTCTGAAGAAACGATTGATGCTTGCTTCGAATTCGAGAACGATAAATAGCAGCCGGAAGATAGTGATCAATAACACAGAAAGATTCGCTGCTAGGATGATCGGTAGTCGCAACAGGAAGGTAGTCATCATCATCATAATAACGCCAAGCATGGCAAAAGAGGAAGAAACGTGGATCGTTCTCATCAGACACTATTCTTACATTCTCGTTGCTTGCTTGGAGTCATTCGCTATGGAGTCCCTTGTAGCACCCACAACCAGACATTTATTAATCAATTGGCTCTCATCAACGGATCAACGGACCGGAAGCCAATTTTCTCTTTATATTCGAGTGATGCATACATATGCAACGTATGCATCTACATTCGTATATATATATATGTACATATGTGTATGTATTCAATAGCTATATCGGGGACAGAAACTAGAAGAAGCGAAACAAAGAGATGAAGATGAAAAAAGAGACGAACCGGGAAAGAGTTTATTATTATTTATCTCTTTTTTTGGATTTCAACTTCAAGTTCCATCCCTTTTCCATTTTCCGTCTTCCATAAATTTCTCGCCATTTAGTTTCTCTATTAATTCTGACACGTCCTTTCAAAGTGAATAACACTTTGACTTGATGTGATTTTTCCTCCAACTTCTTCTTAATGCTATATTTTCAATCTTCTATGACTACGTTCTCTAATTCTGTATTTCTTTAATATATAATTCATCAAATTAACATTCTTAATCTTTCGTTTGCGTTCTCTTTGCACTTTTGAGCTTAGGATGTCCTTTCTCTAATGTTTTAGGTTTTTTTCACCTCTAACCTGATCCGACCTTTGACAGGATGCGAGCTCGTTTCCGGTCTGCTGCTTTGACTTCTCGAGAGAGTTATTTTTATTATTATTTTTATAATCAAGCATTCGAAAAGTCCTCGCTTCGCTAGGTCCAATTTTTCTTTTCTTAAAAAGGAAGTTGACTTCTGGGGAAAGTTGAATGTCGTGGCGGTAATATAGAGCCCTACCGTACCCACCAATCTCACCAAGTTACCCAACAACCAAAGAAGACTGAAGAACCTCCGATGGTGGCATCAGTTATCATTTTAGCGCGCAAACACGCTAAGGTTTATATCACACTCTAATAACTCCATTCAACTTATTACTACTGTAATATTATTATTAATATTAACATCTATATTAACGTCGTTAATATTATGGATCATTATTCATATTTCGTATCACTATTGTATCACTGTTCATCTTCATCGTTTCGAATTCATTAAGTTCATCATCATTGAAGATTTGTCTTTGTTACAACTGTCATCATTATCATTATTATAATTATAATAATAATTATTATTATCATCATTATCATCATCATCGTCATCATCATCGTCATTATCATTATTACTATTATTAATGTTTCTATTAATATTTTTAATAGTATAAATAATTTCTCTATTATTTTATTAAATATTTACTTCTATTATTATTAATACTACATTCACTAATCGCGATTGTTATTGTTAAATATTAATCGAATGCGTTAACTTAATCGAAACGGCCTGTAATCTCATCAAAACGGCTTTTTTTGTAACTTATAAGCGTATTTATTGTTATTCGGTAGTGAGAGAGGCAGAGAGAGAGAGAGAGAGAGAGAGA